CCCCAAAACCCCAAAACCCCAAAACCCCAAAACCCCAAAACCCCAATAGAAAATAATTTTATTGAGAATAGATTCTGTAAATTTCTAGAATCATTGCACTACTATAAAATGCCGGTCCCGCCTTTTCCCTGTTCTTAAATATCTTTAATATTCAGGCAGAATCACTTCAAGAAGGTTTATCGGAAGTTTACCGGCTTGATATCTTAATATGAAGCATTTTACTTCTAAGGTGAACAATAAAATGATTGCCTTTCAATCCATTTTTGGCTTCCTCTTAAGATAATTTTAGCACTCTTTGGTCTTGGACTCTCTCTTTGAGGTAATATTTCTAAGAAGAAGCAAACCAAGCTCTTGAGAAATCTTTTGGATCGTCTTTTCAATTCCATTAAATCCTGATGCAAATAAATTTATGAAGGTTTGAAAATGAAAGCACCAGTATCCCATAGCGCAGAATATTGAGAGTTCAAAACATGCAAAAACTTGTTCAAGCTCTTGGCCTCCTCGTTCTTCCAACTAAGCCTCTCTATTAAGCTAATTCAGTTAAAGCCTGACTTGCGTTCAGTGTAAAGTAATGTTGGATATGTCTGAAAATTTTGAAAAACTCTTCTATTTTATCTTTCTTCTAAAATGTTGGCTCATTTCTCTAAAGAGAGCCTAGAACATGCTATTTGAACAAATAATCAGTGATCCTAGCTATATTTGATCATTCTTGGTATACACTAGAGGTAATTTAATAAGTAGACCGTGTTATAACAGCTGTTTAGGATAAGAACTTTCAGACTTGTTTACTCGAGCATTAATTTTCATTAGCATAATTTTAGAAAATATGTAACAGGAAAATAAATTTTCCTTGGTTAGTTAGGACATAATAAACACCTTTTCTTCGTCCATAAGAATCAATGGTTCCTTATCTTTGAAATCAACATCCTCACATCATGAATGTCATAGTTTATTACCAAACATGGCAATCTCATATTTCTCAACCGTCTACTACCACTAAATTAATAAAATTTTAATGAAAAACTCTTAAATAATTTTGAAATTTGTAACCAGACCAGGAGTAACCACATCGCTGTCTTCAAAATCTTTCTATATGATTCTCATCAGTAGATAGCTTGCTAATAATTTATGGTCTTAAATTTCCAGAAACAATGGTTCGCTCTAAATTTAATCACCTTCCAAAAGTGGAAAACTTATTGACTAATCACTAGTGCTAATTTTTAACATACTTAAAATTTAATCAGCATTTTTATGAATTTTCTCGAAATGATGACGAATTTTAATAATATTAACAGTACCAGCTGCAATAATTCTAATGGGAAAAATAAACCATTGATCATAAATTTGGAAGGGAGGAAAGGCCAATAAAACATCAGAGTCTTTATATACTCATATTCCAGATTCAGAGATCTGATTATCAACCACAGAATTTGCATTAAAGCCTCCTTTATTTTTGCTCATGGAAGAAGCTAAATGTTTAAAGGAAAAGAGACATTATAAAAGGTTGAAACACCAAAGGAAGAGAATTTACAACTCAAATGATTCTCAAGAATCCTAGCATAACATCCAAGACAAATTTGTTTTAATACCTATCTCTAATTTTCTTCGGCAAAACTAATAGAAATCTTTCTTGTTTCTTCCAAAGAATGGAAGACTAGGACATACAGCCTTTGGAGGGTTAACATCTATTATTGAAAGAGTCCTTTGAAAGATTACTTCAGCTGAAGCATAACCTAGAACTCATCTAATTTTGAATAACTCATATCCAAAGGAGGATAAAAGTCTGATGAAGATGTAAGATCGTATTCTTTTTGAGACAAATTATATCCACATGCAGCCAAGGACGCTCAAGATGGAATTTAATAGCATAAATTAGCAAGAATAGCCCGAAATGCGGGCTTTTGGTGCTTTATTCAACAAGATTTATAGACTCGTAATATTTACTGATAATTTAAATTATGGTAGATGACTCATCCTATTTTGCTGAAGATTTCTCAATTTTATTATTCGGAAATAATTTTAGGAGGGGTCATCTTATCTTCTGTTTGCTTAAAGTCTAGTTTCTTCATATCAGCAAGCTTCTTTTGCAATTTAAGCAAAATTTCTATGGAAGGCTTTCTGTTGCTTTCCCAATCACCTTGGAATCCTTTGCAAGAACTTGGCTTCTTAGTCTCCTTCTTCTCATAAATAGTCTTTGACTTGTGAAGATTTAGCTTAAATGGGGTTTCAATGCTATCAGCCTTTTCTCTATTAGTTCCATATTTTGGAGATAAACTATTGCAAAATGCTCTTTTAGGACTTCCTTTTGAGATGATAAGACTATTTCTTATATGAATTACTTTGCTTGAGTCGTAAACGTGGTTAACTTTCATTTCTGATGAAATATCTTCGCCAATATCTCAGTCGTCAGAGTCAAACCACTTGAGATCTTCCTCATTTGGATGCGGAGCTTTCAAAGAAGCTGGACGTTTGAGATCTGCAGGCTGCATATTGATAAATTATTTAATTCTAATTATATAAGTATTTGCCTTCCAGCTTTACTAGTAATCTGGGGTTTTGGGGTTTTGGGGTTTTGGGG